TCCCAAAAACGTCGACCGGCGAGGGGGGGGGGGGGGTAGAACGGACGAACAGAGCTATCTTTCTAAGTCGAACTGTGACCCAACGGCCCTCTTTAGGGCCACAGATACGATGAATATTAAAAATATTTATAAATTTTATCTATAAAAATTTAAAATAGACATGTTTAGTAAATGGTGTATTTGGAAGTAAAAGTTTGCTGAAATGTACGGATTTTATTAAGTAAATTTTGTCATAACACACTGCGAAGGAATTGTCGACCCAGGCAGTAACAGCCGAGAACCAGAATTTTGAATGATTAAATAGTGAAAAATCATGCAAAATTTCCACTGTTATAAATCTGTTGTTTGAAGATGTCAGCAGTTGCGACTTCATAGGTTTTGAAGAGTAAATGGTGCTCTATCAGATAGTGAAAGAATCGAATGGATTTGAGAGATAGTCGTTGAAAACCAGAGTTCTGAAATTTTACGCCATTTTTGCGTGTTTTTTGAATGTTGACAGTTAAACTCATCTAAATCTTGCAAGTGAAAGTGTGTGATGTTGCGACTTCATAGGTTTTGTAGAGTAAGGTTTGCCTTATCTGAATATATCTTAGCCGTACCGATTCACTGAAACAGTGCCGAGATCCAGAGTCTTGAAGAAGCAGGTAAAAAAGCGTTTTTTAAAATTCAACAGCTCATAACTTCTTCAGAACTGCATGAATCATGTTGAGACCTCATAGGTTAGATTCTTCTCATCAAGAGCTTTCAGATGATATATTATAATATGTGAGGGTTTAGAGCCTCCTACGAATTATGCCCATGGGGGGAGCCTTTTCATACCAAAGTCTCCCCCCTCCAATACATTAAAGTGGGCTAGGGGGAGACTTTGGTATGAAAAGGCTCCCCCCATGGGCATAATTCGTAGGAGGCTCTAAACCCCCACATATTATATATCATCTGAAAGCTCTTGATGAGAAGAATCTAACCTATGAGGTCGCAACATGATTCATGCAGTTCTGAAGAAGTTATGAGCTGTTGAATTTCAAAAAACGCTTTTTTACCTGCTTTTTCAAGACTCTGGATCTTGGCACTGTTTCAGTGAATCGGTACGGCTAAGATATATTCAGATAAGGCCATCCTTACTCTACAAAGCCTATGAAGTCGCAACATCACACACTTTCACTTGCAAGATTTAGATGAGTTTAACTGTCAACTTTCAAAAAACACGCAAAAATGGCGTAAATTTTCAGAACTCTGGTTTTCAACGACTTTCTCTCAAATCCACTCGATTCTTTCACTAGCTGATAGAGCACCATTTACTCTTCAAAACCTATGAAGTTGCAACTGCTGACATCTTCAAACAACAGATTTATAACACTGGAAATTTTGCATGATTTTTCACTATTTAATTATTCGAAATTCTGGTTCTCGGCCGTTACTGCCTGGATCGATCTACTTTCTTCGTTGTGCGTTATAACAAAATTTGCATAATAAGATCCGTACATTTTCGCTAAGTTTTATTTCCAAATACACCATTTACTGAACACGTTTATTTTAAATATATATGCCGCCGTATACATAAATATATGCTTTCAATAATCTTTTTGCGTTTATTTTGCTTATTTTCCTTCTTTATCGTCCAGCGAAAAATTTTTCATTCCAAAAGTGAAGGTGGTCACCCTGTACCAGCTCAAAAGTGAAGGTAGGGGGAGAATCGGCTCCCACTATCGCACCTCTGTGCTCGTTGCGTTACCACCATGCGAAGAAGCGTTCGCGTGCAAATTCAAGATCATTGAAAACAAGGTATTGGACGCAACCTGTATACCAGAAGATTCGCATTGACGAGCTGAATACAGCGCTGTTTTCGGATTTCGAATATACTCATTCGGAAAGAAATTATGGCCCTGCGTAATTTGCGTGATTCACATGAATTTCGCGAACCTTCGCGGAATTTCTGGAATTCTGCGACATTCACGGAAATTTTGCACATTCTGTGAGCGGTATTGTAATTTGCAAAAGCAAAATTAATATGTTCAAATAGTTGTATGTAAAGTGGACTGTGGTAAGCAGTAAGCGACACACTAACAAAGTTATTATTATTGTTACTCAAAGTGGCGTTTGAACTCATGTGTACAAGTTGCTGGCTGTTTGCCCGTGAAGTACAAATCACTACTCTTTTATAACTTTCGCAGTGTCTGAGTTGTCGCAGTTTTGAATTGAGTATAGCAAGCATTTTGCATTGGAAATTTTGCACGGTTTCGTTTAAGCCTTCCAGTCGATCCCAGTAGAGCACACGTTATTTCGCGTTTGGAGAGCTGACCGCTCAAGCGTACTTCGACCCGAATAGTTCGCAGTCACTCCGATGTGATGCAGATTCTCTTTAAGAGATAATCTACAAAGATAAATTCGATTCATTGCAGAAATGAAGTTAATGCTAGTTCCAACCACCTATGTACAGGGTGTCCCAAAAGGAAGTACACACTTTTCAATCGCCAATATCTCCTTTCCCAGTGGGTCTTTTTTTTTTGCCAGTCAAGTACCATTCTGTAGAGGAGGCTTCAACCTAGATTTACAGTATCGATCAAATCATCGATCGCTCTTTGTTACTAACACTGGGATGGATGGATGTAATTCGAAGACATGCAGAAATACAATAAACCGTAGATTTCACTTGTGTTCGCATACTGCGATCTTGAAAATGTCGTATTCTTGAATCACAGCTGTCACATCTTCACACTAGATATTTGAGTATAGTTGTCTATTCTAATTTTTCGGCTGTACACCGGACCCCATTCAACTTGCTAAATTAAGGTCGAACATAAGCAGCATATGTGTCCCAACTTTCCGATAAGCACATTGGGAAATCGCTCAAAGTTTTTCAGCAACCACAGTGTATAGAACACTGTGAAGATTCGCACTTTGCATTCGTGCAAGCTGCAAATTTAAAGGGACCCATTAAGTGAAAGGTTATCCCACAGTATTCAAAACAAGCAAACCCTATGAAAGTGGTGATTTGTGCTTAGACGACCTGTTAGGTGACCATCTGATTAGCTGTTGATATAAATGGCTCAAACTTGCCCAGAATGTATCATGCCACTGCGGATTGCAGAGCCTACGTTCCTTCCCTCGAAATATAGAACATTATAGTGTCATTGTGAATTTGCACGATTTTCGCACTAGCAAAACCAATTGTTGCTCCATCAACTACGTGCGGAAGTTTTTCATCGCAGTTCTTTAAAAAATGCCCCCATGATACCCAACAAACTTGGTTACTTTTAACAACATCAAGCAGGATACGAAAAAATATCAAGCACGGGAATTCCAAAGAAACCAAAGTTGTGTTTAGTGCAGAAAAGTAACATATGACGAGTAGGATAAAAACACAGACTCAATCTGCACTTTACAGCACTTACAGCACATACAGTAGAGCAGATGAACGAATCAGCTGACCATTGTTCAAATAAAATAAATGGTTGTTACACTCGAGCGGCTTAAGCACATATCAAAGTAAGTTGAAAGATTACATGGAAAACCTCTTGAGCTTTCTCTTACCTTGCTCCCATCGACTGGTAGCTAGAAGAATGCATGTGTAGGACCTATTTGAGTAAGACACGCATGATATTAGTGAGTACGATTTTGAGACTTCGTAAACTAGTTCAGCAATCATCGTAGTTCTGATGTGTTGGCCATGTGCTGTGGTGATCTTCATTCTAACGGACAAAAGGGAAAGGCTGTCAGAAAATGAGTGAATGAAGTTGATAAAGTGATTATAATATACCAGTGCGTCACCTCTGCTTCGCAGAGGCTCGCACTGGCTCTACTATCCACATTCCTTCCTCGAAATTGCAAAATGATGGCTTTGAAACTTACCTCGCGATGCCGATCATCACGAATGAAATGTCAACAACTACTCATCCCAAAAGATTTTTCATGTAAGATTGGTGACTTTGAGGCAAAGAAAGTGTTCTCCAAAGAATTAAATGCAATTCTGAATCAGTTACTGGGGTTATAATGGCTTGATAGTCTCCATAAAGATGACGACAACAGTGAGTTACATCTCTGATCAAAAATTTTCTCATATTCCCATGTAAAACCTTAACAAATCCATCATCTACGCAATGGCGCCGATCTTGCGTGAAAGTAAACTTTTTGCTCACTTTTCGAGCTGGAGTCCTTGGTTTGCGGATTTACTTGCTAAACGAAACCATGATTCTTTAAAAAGTCCAATTACAGGCCCATTTTGGGGCGCGAAATGTCGCGTGGATCCGTTTGGCGCACAATTTTACAGGTTCCAATCATCGGATCGGCTTGTGCTTTTGCACGTTTTACCTACATGCTGATAGGGTGCTACTACCAAAATTCTAGCTCAAGAGCTTTGCTGGAACTCGCGCTATGAATTTCGTGACAGACAGACATTCAGACACACACACACACAAAAAAACGTAAACACCCTTAGCGCGTTATTATAGTAGGATAATATTGCAGCAACATTGAAAATGCATCTTTAGTGCTAGAAAAGACTTTTATGCGATTTTTCATAAAAATTTCAGCAATATCTCCACACGACCGGTTTGTGTACCGTGCATGAGTTTCGGAAACTCAATAGCGCTGAAGTTTAATTGAAACCAGGAACCAAGCCTGAAATTAAGAAAAAATCCGTGCCAAAAGACGCTTCACATCGCGAGAGAGTGATTTTGAAATCTAAAAGCTTTTCGGCCATCCTAGTTCTCTTATGACTAACATATTGACGTGCAGTGTTGCAGAGTTTCCTTGAGACGAGTGCTCTCCAATTGAAGCCAATGCCTCTTCGTCTCTGCTGTCTTCTTTGCTCATCTGTGGCTCCACTGTTCGCGCGTTGTCTTAACAGCACCCATGACTTGAGGGTGCATTTGTTCGCAATCAAATGAGCGCTTAATTGAAAAGACAAGAAGAGAAAACGTGAGTCATATGGAATTTATCAATGCATACTTTGTCTGTCTCCTTTGAAAGTTTTTCATCTTATTGCAACATAGTCCTGCGTAATGAACAACGGTCTACGGGATAAATTATTGGAAGTAATGGGACGAAAACTGTAAATAAATGATTGACGTCTAAAAAACTTGTGTAAATCACCTGCTTTCTGAAAAGCTTGAGCCATTGCTCTGCATTCAAAAAACGGCGCTAGATGCTGTTCAGCTAGCTCCAACAACAGTAAGATTTCGTGTCACTTCATTTCCTTTGTTGCCTGATTACAACGTCTGACAACGAAAGATTGTTTAGTCAAAATGGCCTTTTCAGATGAGATGTGTAGCTTATTAAAGGGCATAAAACGTTATATGCAAATCTGCCTTCCTATTTTGTTATTTATAAAAAGGAGTTGAGAGTGTTAGTTGAATCAGAAAACTGAATGTGCGAGCAGGACGAAAATAGCGTAATATTTTTCTGGCGCTCCGATGGAGCAGTAATTATCACGGTGCTTTATTCAATAAGTATTTTGAGATAAAAATACCACACCTGCTACTTTATTTGAGGCCTAGTAAGCTAAAGCAGGTCATTTTATCTCAAGTGCACTATTGAATTTTTGCTCCAATTAACGCTCATAATTGCTCGTTCATAAAATATATTGCAGATAAGGAGGGCAGATAGGTTTGAAATCGGCTTATTATGCTCTTCAATATCGTTTACATCCATCCTACTCCAGGCTTTTTTGGCTATGATAAATCGGACGGTTTTTATAAGCTAAACGTAAAGCCTTATTTCATTTGGACGCTCTTTTGTAATGCATAGTGAACATTCTAACTATATTAGTGAATCCTACTATCAGAACAATGCAAATTTTGTTGGCTAGAAATGTTCATAACTTTTTTCGGAAGAGCGCACAGCAAGTACCGAAAGCATGCACTCAGTGGTGTAAGTTTCATTTTAAAAAGCCCCGGTCACCAAGCATCCCTCCCTTTTAAGCGCCAATCGAGCACTTCTTGCGTAAGTGATTGTTAGCCCACATCAGGTGCATGGGAAATAGTTGGAAGCTTTAACTTACCCGAGCAGTTTTGTTACGCACAAACGCTTTCCAAGTGAAGAAATTTTGCTTTTGGCGAAACAAGTAAGAGTAGAAGTAAGTACAGGGTTTTGATAACTGTCATCGATTGAGGAAAACGTTCTTAACCCTCCGTTCTTTATCGTAGACGAAGCTATGTGATGGTTCGTAAATCCCCGATATTGCCAGTGGGGAATCATATGAATCACATATTTTGGTTATAATAATGGACTTCAAAGCTCTTACCTCAACTAACAAGGAAACCGTATTTAGTCGAAGTGACCTTTCCAAATGAGATCCATACTGCTTTGAAGAGCATTAAGCGATGATTCCAAATCTACCTCCCAAATCTGCCGAGCGCCTCTGAACGAGGAGTTATGCGTGTTTTTCAGGTCAAAAAATTGAACGTAAAACTGGAGCTGAATTGCCCAAATTTGCTCAAATGATCCAGTGTCAAGAGAGCCGCTTATGCAATATATACATTTTGTTTAATATGTTAATACTCCACCAATGCTTTATCTGAGCGCTGGAAAGATTGTAACAATCGATTTTACCTAAATTCTACATCCATTTTTCGTTCTAAAAAACGGTCATAACTCGGCGTAAGAAGCGCTTGGCAGATTTGGAAGTCAGATTTGGAATCATCGTGCAATACTTTTCAAAGCAGTATGGGTCTCATAAAGGCCACTTCGACTAAATACGCTTCCCTTGTAAGCTCTTCAATCATATACTAGGTACTCTGCCATCATTTGTCACTGTCACGTCATCTAGGTTCGAAATTTTATGGGAAAAATCGTGAAGAAAGTTTTGCAAGAGCTTTTTCATCACAGATTTCCACATTATCTAATATGAGCGTTGTCACAATGAAAATCTTGCTCAGAATACCTTGTAGACCACTAGCTTCTCCAGCACAACCCTAATAATTCATCTTTTTAATGACATTGTGTGTTCGTCATGAAAAAGCATAAGCACATGCATAATGTGAAAAATGATTTTGAAAACCAGTTTTCAAACAGATTTTTCAAGATTTTTCTCCACATTCAGAAATAATGTTGGCCAAAACAGGGTTGCGGGACTTCGTTCTTCTTTATTCTTAATAAAGTCACTTTTAATGCGGAGCAAAACGCTATCTTTGACTTCCCAGCTGAACCACTCTGCAAAATGAGCAAGGTTAATTAGCTCCATTACGCCGTCGCGATGTGATTTACTAGATCGGAAGTGGTTTCTGAAGGACATATCGTTAAATGCGTTTCCATGTTTACTACATTGACACATCAGCGACAAAGCAACTTACAAAGACGTGTTACGTGTCTTATAATTTCGGTAATCAAACCATGCGTCAGTCTTCATAAATTCCTTTGATGTGAGCTTCATAAAGTTTTGGAGTAGGCAAATTTAATCAAAGCTTTCTAAAAGAATGCATTTTCAAGTTTTGCTTATTTGTTCGATCACATATAAAGCAAATAAAACATATGCCATTTTATCTGTAAATTCGACTCTTTTTCTTTGTCGGAAGTTAGATTAAGCAAGTATACTTCAGCATGCCGAAGACGAGTTGACTACTAAAACACATTGATCATCAACAAGTTTTTTGCCAAGCCGCAAGCATTTTGTTGCTCTGGTGCCTCTAGCGCTCCAAAAATAAGGGATGAAAAAATATCATAAAAATCCAAAAACTTTGCTTCTTCAGGTGCATCTGTAGAAATGACACAGAAAAATTGAAACTGTTTCTATTGATTTTTTTGGAGGACGTTTTCATTGTTAGAATGTCGGTGATTCCAAAGATAGCGCACCCTGATATTGGAACCGCTCTGATAAAAATGTGCAGACATATCACATTTTATATCTTTCAGCGTCATCCCCCCCCCTCTATCCATATTTGCTTAACATTATAGACAGGACAATGTGGTAATCAGCCAATACATTATCAAGTTCTGCCTGGTTACCACATTGTCCGGTCTCTCGCTCATCATCTTGAAGAATACCAACTCATTTACAAAATTGAAAAACAGCTTTTCACAGCCACAAAGTAATTGTTTTGCGCACGACGCCATACGCCGTGAATTTGGTATCTCGAAAGCCTCTGAGGTTAGAATAAAAAGTGTAGCAGTTATTAGACCGCCTGATATGAAGCTCGTGATGGTTTTAATTAGGGCTCTCAGTTATGGTTTTGACGTCGCTTCTGGGTTCCTTCACGCTTCGCCATAATCTGTCGGTACTCTTTTTGTTCTCGTTCTTACTAACTCAGTTTCATAATCATTTTATTTCTAGTCTAGCTCGCTCAGCTATCTAGCATTCCGTCTACAGTTTGCTGCAACCAAATGGATTGCATGTAAATTGTGCTAACCTTTAGGGGTCATTGAGCCTCCCCGGTTAGGCGGGTTATCGGTATTATACCTGGGCCAGTTGACCGGCATTATAAACTTCCTGTTTGCTTTTGAGAGTATGTAAAAATCGTTTCGCTGGCAACGAAGCGGCATGGGTCCCATTACCATGTTATATATAAAGCTGAATGTCTGTTTGTATGTCTGTATGTCTGTATGTCTGTCTGTATGTATGTATGTACGTATGTTCCAAATAGAAAATTCCATTTCTCAACCGATCCGGACCAAACTTGGCACACATACACTTCGGGCCCCGGCGGGTGTCACAGGCTACCTTTCGTCATCGATCGATATCGATTTTAACGATTTTTATCGATTTTTTTGCAGAGTTCACCTACGGGGCCGGGAGTTGGCACAGGGGGTAATCGAGCATGCTGATTACGAATACAATATTAGTTTTCAGAACTATCGATTACTTTTATCGATTTTATCGATTTTCTGAAAAGCTTGAGCTACGGGGCTGGGAGTTGACACAGGGGAGTAATCGAGCATGGGGATTCCGAATACGATATTAGTTTTCGCTTTTTCGGTTTTTTGAGCGCTTTTGGGCATTTCTCGGCGAAGTATGACGGGTCCCTTTCTAGACACTTTTCGAATACATGTTTGTGATCTTGCAAAAAACTACCTTGAACATATCATTCAGCTGACATTATTACGCACCTATAAACTCGCAACTCTGGCTAAAAGCAATTGTAATAAGGAATATGCAAATTATACTAGTACATGAGTACCCCTCGAGACAAATATCCGTGAAAAAATTTATGAGCGGAAGCATTGCTTCGAATCTGCTTGGTGGTGATAGTCAGCCATTTGAGCAAAGAAGCAAGGGGAAAGAATTGTAATGGCGATATCCATAAGATAAATAGATCATGCCTTATTCGAGATAAATTCCCGCACATCTTCACTTCGTTTTATGTCATTTTTCCAGATGCTTTTCGACGTTGCCGTGGTGCTAATACTCCTCATTACGCTCGTTTCTCTTTTGCTTTACTGTTGCGTAATTGCAATAATGTGGCGCAATCGGAAATCGAGTCGCTACAAGACTTTTTTCTTCAAAACTTTATGGAATGAGGTGTCTTTAAGCTGCTTATGAATTGAAGTGGAGAACTTAAATTTGCTGCTTTTAGAGCTTCATCAACTCCTTCACTATCATATTCTTCCTAACAACTATGTATATAAGATGCTACGGCGCAACGAGTTCTGTATTCCTTTTCTTGAATCGCTACTCATGGTGGACAAAATTTGCGCAAATCACTCAAGAGCAGATTATGTATACGCAAACCATGAACGTATTTCTAACAGTTGGAGGCCGATTCTGTACTGTATGCTTACCACATTCACAAATTACTTATGTAAGTTAACTAAGCGCTTTATGAGCTTTAGAAATGAAGTAGAGTGTACATTGCAAGTAAGACAAACTAGGATCTCATTGACGCAAACCAATTTTCATAGCCTTTGAGTTCTTTACATTCGATTTCAGCTGAAAAAATTGCTTTCAGATGGCTGAAGGACTGACAAAGTGGAAAATTTTTGCCCTACAAGTCTCTCTCCCTACCTTTGTTGTGATTCCGCTATATTTCTTTTATGATTTCCAATATGGATATAAGGGTCTTACAGTGCCGCTTTTATTAGGCACACTCGACGCCTCTTATGATCGGGTCTGTAACTTGTTACACTTTTGAAAGAGCAGAATAATAAGCAAGACTAGGTTATCTTTTATATTGGTTTGATTTATCGGATTGCTGTATTTGCGTTATGCGTTTATGGCTATACGTATCTTTTTTGGACCGTGCGGAAGAAGGCGTAAGTTCCTGAGCTATTCAAGAGGCTAGGTGCAGGTACAGATGTTTTGCATGTTTTCAGAAACCGCAACCAGATGAACATTCTGATTCACGGCGGTTGCCTGTTATTAGCATTTGATGCCTTATTTATATGCACTATAGTTCGAGGTCTCCGCACAGGAGAGGTAACTTCGTTCATATAGCTCCAAATTTTGGATTTAGGCTATATTTTGAAAATAATTTGGAATAATGAAGTAAAATCATCTGCAATTTTTTCACTTGTGTAATTTTATCTCGATTAAGTCTGATGCGCTCATGCGACTGTACTATATTTCAATGATGTTATGGATTCCTTGCACTAATATAGTAGTAACCATTTGCGTTATAACGCCTATAAGGAAACATATTTTGCATCCATTCGAAAAAGGAACGGACACTAGTGTGACGCCCAGCACATTCTGATAAACTTGTAACTCAACCATTTTGTTTTAATGGAACTCATCAGTGACGATTCGTAATTGTAATCGTAATCAGACAAACATATCGAAATGTACTTTCAAAAGAGTGTTTAATCAGTTCGATAAATCACCTCTGCAGGTTACAATGAGTCAAGCTTGTTTTTACAGATAGTTTACTTCATTTTTGGCTCCTTGACGATTGGTGGCAGTTCCAGATTCTTTTGAAGAAAAAAAAGGAAGGGTGATAGTTTTCCTTGTTTAAGGGACGCGGCGTTACACGCACTTTCAAAAAATTGGGATGCTCTTCTGAGGATGTCCGTTTGGTCAAAATGGCCTTTCCATACGAAACTAATACGACTTTGAAGAACATCGAATGCTGATTCCACATCTATCTTAATTATGTCAAGCGTCTCTGAACGCCGAGTTATGAAAGTTTTTGGGTTGGAAAATTTACCTTGATTGGAACAAAATGTGTCAGAATTGCCCAAATGGTCCAGTATCAATCATCAGAGCACTGAGTAAAAAAAATACCTATTGTTCAAAGCACTCATACTCTTTATTTGAGCGTTGGAAAGAGCGTAATATTTGAATTTACTTAGATTATGCGTTTATTTACCGCACCAAATTTATAACACGGCATCAGATGCGCTTGGCAGGTAATAAAATTAGACTTGGAATCAGCGTATAACCTCGAGTCATTTGTAACTTAATATGTGAGATTGCACACTAAGCCCTATTGGCGACGGCACCCACACTAGTAACTTCCCAGTAAAATATTTTCTAGCCTAACAAAATGTAGAAATGTGATCTACTGACTAACATATAACCAACTAAAATAAAAGAAACCAGGAAACAAGGAGAAATCACTAAAAATGAACAGGTTCTAGTTTCGCAGTTCGTCAGTTAACGTGTAAAGTGTGCACTACGCATATTAAGTTACGAATGACTCGACGATATGCTCTTCGAAGATTTGGAAAGGCCACTTCGACTAAACGGACCTCCCTTTCAGTTGTAGGAATCTTATCTCTAACAACTAGCAGAAAGAGTGAGTGGCAGAACCGTAGTAAGCGGTAGCGAGGTCCAAACTTCACAAGACAAATTTGAATCTTTGTAGAAATCATGATTACGTTATGAGTAAGAGAGAGTTCTGCGCAACGGATGACCTTTGTAGAGAGCTCTCAAATTTTTCTTTTTCTGTTCTTTTTTTTCGTTCGCTGCAGATAAAAGAATGAATAATTAATCTGCTAATCTGAGAAAAGGTTATTTCATCCTCTTTTTGCTGCCGTAAATCTACAGCTTTTTCAGTTGTGCCATTTAGTACCATGCGTTCAAGATAAAGAGATACATAACGGTTAGCTGTGTTTATGCTAGAAACAGCTGTAGTCTGACCTCATACCGCTATTTATTACTTCAAGATGTGGCAGAGCCATGCTTGAACGCGTGAAGAATAAATTTTTCACAAGGGATGTAAACTGCTCTTCCTTGTGAGAACAGAACTAACAATTTTTTGAGTTGGTATTAAACCGTATTCCATTACCCATGATTGCTAAGATGTAACACAAAGCGATCAGTAAATGAATTTCATTGTATAACGCCGATCGTATATGGTTGTAGATTTTTCGTAATTTTATCTTCATATTTCGATATTATCACATTATCTAAAGCTTCTCATGTACACAACATAGTGCGATTTCATGCGTAAACTAATGAAACATTAGGTCGTTTCGAAGGTAATGGCTTTTTTTTCAAATGTACGCCATATCTTGTGGAACAAAGATGTGTAAGACATTCTGGTAACATTTGATGCAGCATTTCATACTCTTTCTAAAGATTATATAACCACTGTACACATCCCTAGCCCGCATGTATGTATGCATGCATCCACGCACAAAATATAAATTGTGCAGGCCCCGCCTCCGTGTGGCAAGCTCCGCCCACTTAGCCAAAAATGACGAAAATGGCCCAAATTTTAAGAATTCTTGCGAATTCCGCAATTGAAAAGTGGGCGGGCTTGCCATTTGGGGGGCGGAGTTTGCCTGGCGGTGGACGGAGACACCCTAAAAGTTGCCTGGGGTCTTTTTTCATCTACGGCCTCATCCAAGCTTTTTATGAACAAAAAGGGTCCTTGTGAGATGGTAATGGGCGGAGTTTGCCAAAAGGGGAGGGGCCAATATATGAAGTACATCTGAGCTTATGTTGATTATATGAACGAAAACTGAGAGGATTGGACCGATAGTATTGAAATGAAGGCCGCCGCGCACCATCGCGCAGCACTGTGTCAACGTGTTAATAACTTCTCGAAAAATAATCAAAATCTTCGACCCTTGCTTTTCTGAGAAGGCCAAGCTTTGTGATTTTTCTAAATTTTTATAATAACCCTCGGAAGAAGTCCAAATAATGAATGGATAAAGCAAGCCAAGGAAACAGCACAACTTTTTCTACTATCCAGAGCCCGTCATAATTCTTGTATAGATTTTTTGATGGAACCATCAAATTAAGCAGGTTCGTCTTAGACATAAATGCATCAAACACCAATAGATCTCCGGATTTTAGAACTTATAAAGATGGATTATGGTTTGACACTAATTTTACGAAACAAACAGGATTCACCGCATCAGATTAGCAACTTTCGGAATTTTCGGGTACAGCCTAGGGCGCCCTGGAACTCGAATCATGGTGATTTTATCCCGTAAAACTTGATGAATCGGGAACAAAAAACGAATGGTAAAAAGAGGAGAAAAGCTACGTCGAATAACACCTGTGTTGCTTATCAGTTGTTGTTCTGTGAGGTTTGAGTTGATCAAATATGGAATTTGACGGCACTGAAGAATTGATTCCAGAAACTCTAAGAAGCAAGGTAAGAAAAAGAAAAAAATTACCCTATGTTCTATAGGGTTTCCTCTATCTACCTGTTCTTCGGAGAATAGATACAAAAATTTAGGAAAACAGCAGAACTTGGCAAAAAGCACGAGTCGCAGATTTTGGTAATTTTTCGAGAGCTCATCTCAGACAATTCACCGGAACTTCCGCAGACAAGCAGAACTTGCAGCGTTTCCGCAGCACTTTCTTAACCATTGAGAAAGTGCACGCTCCAAAATGCGAGGTTTTCGCAGGAAATTGACGTCACAGCGATCGTAAACAGAAACTTCCGCAGCACTTTCCATAAAGCGCTGCGAAAGTGCGGTGAGGCTCGTTTCCGCAGCACTTTGACCTGCCAGCAATTCCGCAGGACTTTGAGAGCGCATGCATTCGCGATTGCGAGATAGCGAGCGCAACATCAACGGCGCATAGCGCACTCTTTTCTTCCATACTGTTTCGCTTCTGTCCCTCCTCTAATCATTCTCTTTTTTCTTTCTTAGTTCAATGCTGGCGTAAGTAAACCTATACTCATCCATATTCCAAGTAGTCTTTCAGGCATCGATGCAGATGTGTGAACAACCATCACCAAGCTGCTGGAGTGCTGAAAAAGACTCAATGGAGGGATTTCGTCTAAGCATAACGCCCTTGTCCAGATATGTCGAACTTCTTTGCTTTATGTGCTTTGATTAAAATAATAATGCAAGTAATTTAAAACTATTACTTCGTAGAAAATATGCACTGGATACAAAATAAAGCAGAAGTGATTAGGTAGAAATATATCAAAACAAAGAGGGAGGGGGGGGGGAAAGGGGTCACCGAAATTTTAAAGTGATCTACAAGCTCTTGATGAATTGAAATATCTTCAAAAACTTTCAGATTCAAATTAGGTGGGACCGTACGTTCGCCAGTTTTTCAGAAAATCACTTTCCTTTCCTCGAAGATTTTGCGTTTATATTCATCTAAGGGAGGAATTCATTCTCTTTACAGCAGTACTTTTACCTTGAATTGGCATAAAAAAGTTTGAAAGTTAGAAGCAACTGAAGAAAATTACTCAAGATTGGCATTTTTCAAGCAGGGCCACCAAAAATTCTGAAGGTATTTTTCGATAGGGAAAGCTATGCTCTTCATTATAGTGCTTTTTCCGAAAACAAAAAGGATTGAGAATTAGAAGCAAATAAAGAGAATTACTCCAGTTTTGCGTCGGGAGGGACGGGAAATTCATGTGAACATGGATTTAGTGACCTTCTCTTTTTGGTTGAGAGA